ATATTACAAACTATAACAGCCAAAATGAATATTTCACCAGAAGTAGATCTAGAGGATTGTAAGTTTATTTGTTTATTTATTTATTTTGTTTTGTTTATTTTGTTTTTTATTTGGTTGTTTTGTTTTTGTTTTTTTTTGTTTCTCTTTTTTATTGTTTATATTTCTTGTTTTTTGGTTTTTTTATGTATTTACAAACTATAACCGCCAAAATGAATATATCACCAGAAGTAGATCTAGAGGATTGTAAGTTTATTTGTTTATTTATTTTGTTTTTTATTTTGTTTGTTTGTTTATTTTGTTTTTTAGTTGGTTGTTTTGTTTTTGTTTTTTTTTGTTTCTGTTTTTTATTGTTTATATTTCTTGTTTTTCGTTTTTTTTGATAAAACAGCTAAAATGTATATATCACCAGAAGTAGACGTAGTACGTATACTCTTTTATTTGTTTATTTTGTTTTTTGTTTGTTTATTTTGTTTTTTATTTGTTTATTTGTTTATTTTAGTTGTTTATTTGTTTGTTTTATTTGTTTGTTTTGTTTTTTTTCTTTTTTTTTGTTTTTTTGTTTTTTTTGTTTTTTTTGTTTTTTTGATAGAACTGCTAAAATGAATATATCATCAGAAGTAGATCTGGAGGATTGTAGGTGTATTTATTTTGTTTTTTTGTTTTTTATTTTGTTTTTTATTTGTTTATTTTGTTTTTTATTTGTTTATTTTGTTGTTTATTTGTTTATTTTAGTTGTTTATTTGTTTATTTATTTATTTTGTTTTTTATTTTTTCTTTTTTGCTTTTTTTTTGGTTTTTTGGTTGTTCATGCATCTTACAAACCATCACTGCTAGCAGCAGCAGCAGCAGCAGCAACAGCAGCAGCAGCAGCAACAGCAACAGCAGCAGCAGCAGCAGCAGTAGCAGTGGGAGAACGTAGTTTGTTTCCGTTTGCTGCAGTTGTATCACCAGCAGCAGCAGCAGCAGCAGCAGCAACAGCAGCAGCACCACCACAAGCAGCACAACCACCCCTACCATCACCATCACTAGCAACAGCAGCAGCACCAGCAGCAGCAGCAGCACCAGCAGCACCAGCAGCAGCAGCAGCAGCAGCAGCAGCAGGAGAAAGTATTGTGTTTGTGTTTGCTGCTGTTGTATCAGCAGCAGCAGCAGCACCACCACCACCACACAAACAGCACAACCACCCCT